AGTTATATAGATCAGTTGGTGAAATGTTGTGACCAGAGGCTCCCTGGAACCTAACCCTGTATTTCCCCTAGGAACAATAGTTCAGTATCTACTAATTCAGTGCCCAAGGTGACTTTAATTACAACTTTAATTAAATATGACTACTGCGAATAATAAAAATCAACTGTCAGATGGGAGATGAATGTAGGGGAATGGGTGAAGAGGTGAGGGGATTACAAAATACAAATTGGTAGTTATAGAATAGCCATGGTGATGTAAAGTGCAGGAAATGGAGTAGCCGAAGAACTTATACACATGACCCATGGACATGAACAAAGGTGTGGGGACTGCCTGAGGGAGTGGGTACTGCTGAATGGAGGGGGGCAAAGGGGGAAAAATTGGGACAAATGTAATTGCATAGTCAATAAAATAAAATTTAAACCAAAACCAAAACAATCAACTGTACCAAACCCACCACCCAGGTCCTATGGATTCCACTTCCAGAATGTAAAATTAGCTTCTCTTCATCATTAATTGTGGACTCTAATAAGCTCCCTTACTTCCAGCTCCCACACCCTTCTGATCCGATTCTGTGCAAAGGGGTTAAAGTGACTCTTAGAGTGAAATGGGCCGCCATGTTAGTTGGTCCCTGACTTAAACCAATTTCCTAATTCACGCAAAATAAAAATCCAAAATCCTTCAGAAGGCCGTAGGGTTGCTCTTGATATCCTGCTGACCTCTCCTTCTTCACTACTCCCCCTTTCACAACACTCCAGATACACTTTTTCCTTAAAACTCAGGGACTTCAAACACACTGTTGTCTTTGTCATCTCTCTGCTCTTTTTTTTTTTTTGCCTGTCTTGTATTCGGTCTTCAGGTCTAGCTTTAAATGTAACATCCTCAGAGAGAAAGCCCTCCAATGCAAAGAGAGGCCCTCTATTATACTTATCTACAGCATCCTCTAGTTAGGTACCCTTAACACCACAAATTTATTATTTATTTAATATTTGCTTAAATACCTGGTTCTCCACTAAATTGTAAGTTCCATGAAGACAGAACTATGCCTTTTTAGTTTTCAATTATATTGAATGTTTGTTACATCTGGAATGGTGTTGAACACATAACTGGAGCTTTATAAATGATTAAATGAATGAAAATGGACTACCCCATTAGATCTTTTTAACAATATATTGAAACAGACATAGCATGACTATATGCTTAAAATGCTTGGAGGGAATGAAACGTATTATTATTTGGATATGGTGGTGATATATGTTTCTCTGTATGTGAACTTTAATTATAAGCAAGATATTAAGAATTTCAAGAAAATTCCTATGTCTCTACCCTCTTCTCTACATGGTATAAAATGATATGTACTTTAACAATTAGCCAAAACTAAACGTATTACTGAGCAGAGAGCATTACTACAGAGACCATACTAAATAAGCAGACAAATAGGCTGGTCTATAATAAAGTTAAGCTTGGAATAGTTCAGATAAAATCAAAGTTCTGCAATAATATTTGCATCAACTCTAGAAAGTTATACTTTATCATAGGGTAAAGAGAAGAAGCGTTTACTTCCTTTAATAATTTTTTCCCATTTAAATAGCAGTTCCAGTTTATTTCCCTTTTTCTGGCATTCTCTAAAAACCTGGAATCAAAATTTAGTAATAGATTTTCTAATTTTTACATTAACTTTATTCTCCTGGGATTATGGGGAAAACACATTTTTAATCATCAAAAACTATTTTTTTTCCTCTGAAGAGGTTTTTCAAGTTCTAAACCTTGTTACTGCTAATATAATTCTTTCATGTTCTCCCACAATATCCTGAAATTGTCCTTTCTCTCATAATAAAAGTATCTGTCACAATCATCCTTTCTCTCATAATAGAAGTATTGCTTCTACTATGAAAACAAAGAATTAGTTTAACATCGTGTGGTAAAGAATTTTCAAACAAATATAAATTCAAAAATATGAAATCAATTTTTGTTAACTTTGTGTATAACAAATCAACTAAAAATTTTTTCAAGTAAATATTTTTTTTGATATTTAGTAATTTGTCCATCACAAGAAATAAAGCACTGACATCCAACATGTGTTTCTTGACAAACTATATAATATCCTACTTGCCTTTGACCCATTTACTTTTTTAATTACCAATTTTAATATGTGTACAAAAAAGTGACTACATGGCAAATATCTGGAAAATCTTTCACTGTGTTGCAAACTTACACAATGAAACAGAAAAGACACATGGAAAGTTCTAGGCTCTTTAATTTGCTGCAACACAGTTCAATTCACTCTCAGTGGCCCAATCACAGCCTGGCCACGTATTTATTCATCTTTTCCCTATTCCACACTGCTTCAGGATAATCATTATAAGCCAACTGTCCTCTCAAGATCTAGAACCAACTTTGAACATTTTCCTTGGGTACATATCTCTTCCAAACTGGTGGCCATGCTTCAGTGTCATTACATCAACTGTCTTATCACATGTTGCTGAAGAAGCTGAAGAAGCAATCACAATGCTCTTCCATTTCATTTTGTAGCCACCAATCTGTGACCTCATAAATTGAAATAATTCTCCTGTATCTTTCACTTTTATCATTCCAAGAAATTAACATTTTCACAGATGCCCTCTTAAAAGTAAACTCTTTGTTCCAAGAAATAAAATATTTGTTTATTATGAACAACAGGTATTCAGTTTCTACCAATGTGTTTTGAATACATGAAAATTTGTTAACATCTCCATAAAATTCATATTCACTTTAAAATCCAGTAATTTCAAATACATTGCACTTTTTTCATGTTTTATCATTTTTTTCCAGTGCTTTTTCCAGTTAGAAATTCCTTGTGTTTTAAATGATTCTTCTTTACAATCAAATTCTTGTTAGCCACATAATGTAAAATGCCAACCACCAAAACTCTGTAAACATACTTCTTTAATTTTTCCTATTGTCCCTGGTCTTTGTGGACTTTGCAGGTAAATGATCACAAAAGAGCCTCTACATTATGCTGGTGACAGAATCAGCAACTAGTTATTGATGATGATGCTAATGTAGTACACTACTGGTTTTCTAAACTTGTTATTTCAACACCATTACTTGTCTGAGGAATTATAGAAATTTTTGTACTTGTATTTTAATATAATTTCAAAAAATTTCCACAAAACAAATTATAACTGACCATATTCATAACACTGAATAGCTGAAGAATAAGAAATTCTGTACCCAAAGGCAATACAAAGCTGGAAAAACACCAAAACAGGACAAAAAAATCCATGCAGGTGGGTTGGCAGAAGACTAACCAACTGCTGAGTTACACGAACAATCTCATTGCTCTTTTTGCACATTGTTTTTTAAAAAATTGTCAACAGCTACAAAACAGCTTCTTATGGCAGTTAGGAAATACAGAACAGAAATGTGTTTCCTTATCCCTCTTCGTTCAACAACCCTGTATCTATCTTAAAAGAAACTAGACCTTAAGATTTTATCAATTTATTAACTCTTAGGTTGTTATGTGGAGACAGTTGTGAAATTTTAAACATACAGACTTTTGCCTTTGGAACACTTCCTTTTAAAGGTACAGTAAGGTCTTTCATTTAGCTGACAGAATCCAAAATGAAGAATCCCTTAATGAAAACCAAATATCAATAAAAATAAATTTTGTTAACTAAGAAACTGAAAGATCTGAGATTTTACCTTACTTGCAACCGAACAACTTAGGTTGCCACAGTATTTCTGCCTATAAGATAAATTTTAAACTCAATTATAGTAAAGCTTTCCACCATTTGGCCTCCAGGTATTTTTCTGTTCTTATCTCCCTCCTCAAGTCATGTTTACAGTATTTTTATCCCACATGATCATTTGTAAGCGTGTATGTTTACTGATTTTCTGTCTTGTTCACTAAAGGTATAATCTAGCAGGAAACATATCTATTTCATTCATACATGTATATTCAGCACCTATCATAAAACTGTCACATAGAAATTACTTAATAAATATTTGTTAAATAAAATTTCAATGTAATTTGTTTCTAACTAAACTCCAACACAGGCTACTCCTCATTGGTTCCCTCCTCTCACCAACTCACATACTGATATCTATATAAAGTCTCACCTGTCCACATGACCCAGATGGGTCCCCACATCATAAATCCCTTCGTAATTTCCTACAGAACTTTATTTAATTCTCACAGCCCTATTTTCTCTGGTTAAAAAAATGAAGAAACTAAAGCTTAGAGAGATAAGAAATGTGTGTAAATCATAATCCCAGTGAGGCTATGATGAAAATTAGGTGTATCTCACTTCAAAGACCCTATTCTTAACCCTTTTACACTGCATTCTTAGCTAAAATGATTCTCATGATGTTACTGATTCAAAGCCCGGTTCTGCTACATATTAACAGTGCAATATTGAGGACTTCAGATGCTATACAGGTATAACCAGAGGTAACTGTAGTACATACCTAAAAATATAAAGATTAAATGAGATGATGAATGAAAAGCACATAGCACAGTCACTAGCACTTAACACAGAAAACGCTCAAGAGATGTTAACTATCATTATCATATTCCTCTAAAACAGGTCAGCAAATTTTTTCTTTAAGGGTTAAATGGCAAATAGTTTAGGCTTTGTGAGTTACAGTCTCTGCTGCAACAAAAAATGGGCAGCAAGCTTGATTTGACCCACATGACACAGTTTGCCAACTCCTGCTTTAGAGCAGGGCTCTTCAATTTCTTGGCACTACTCATATTTGAGGCTGGGTAATTCTTTGTTATGGAGGGCTGTCCTGTGTGTTATAATATGTTTAGAAGCATCCTTGGTCTCTACCCACCAGATAATAGTAGCATTCCCTAAGTTGGGATAACCAAAAAAATCTCCTGGGGATCACAATCACCCCAAGTGATAAACATTGCTCTACAGCAATCAAAAATAAAAAAAGGTAGCTTGATTTTTCTCATAATGAAAATACTTTAAGTGGGAAAATAATTTAACATACTAAAAAGTAATTATACTCACTTAGCTAAAATTCCCACACTTAGCAATAACTTTATAACTTCTGTGAGACACACGGCTGTGGTTGAAAAGTAGAGTTCTTTGTCTGATGTCCTTGTGTATCTTAAAGCTATGGTGTAAGTTGCAGCCACCAGGGTCATCACTGTCAAGCAGTATAACTTGAATAATAAACTGACATTTTCTGGAAAATATGTGCAACAAAGATGTTATTTAGTAGACAATATTAATGTATATAAAAGTTAATCAACATTATACCTCAAAATGCTTTCCAATTTCAAGCACAAAATAACTTTTTAAACCCATGATGTTTAAGAACTTATTTCAAAACAATACGTTCCAATTACATGAATGTAAAAAAAAAACCACACATACAGGAAACAGCTGGCTTTGAATATCAACTGGTTAGGATTGATTTTGTTCCTTGGAAATGCCTCAACTGCAAGACTAACTCTAGTTTGGTATGTTATAAATTATGTAATTTATATATCTTTATAACTCAAACTTGTGAAAGCAAAGAATGAAAAGATGAAAACAAATTACAGCAATGTATATTCTAAATTTAAAGACTGCAGAAAGAGAACAAAAGGAATAATTGTGTTAAAAGAGAAACATAATAAAAAACTTTATCATAATAAAAAAACAAATCATGTAGCCTCTCATAGCATTATAGAGAAAAATACTTCAAAACTCAAAAAAAGAGTATTAAGGGCAAAGCCTTATAAAACTTGAAATGCAGGATATGCACGACTTTAAATAAACTCAATTTAAGAACTGCTTGCAAGTGTGTTCATTCAGGCACCAGGGTGGGTCAGACGCCTTCAATAAAACCCCAGGCACTAGAGTATCAGGTCTCCCTCATACTTCCTTACTCCCAGCCCCGCTCCAATACTGTCATCAGCCAAGACTCAATCTATTTCTACTTTCTCTACAAACCCCCCTCCTCTCATCCTTAACCTTTCAAATCTACAGAAGGATCAGCAAAATTTTTCTGTAAAGCACAAATAGTAAATATTTTAAGCTTTTCAGCCTACAAGGCAAAATCAAAAATGTCATATAGGTACTTAAGTAATGAGAGAAAACAAATTTTCTGATAAATTCAAAATATAAAATTGAGTACAATGCTTTATAATATAGGTCTACTATTGAGAACAATTAAATTATTTTGAGGGATAACATTTTGCTTTATCAGTCTTCAGAGTAGTGCTCCATCAATTCGACTGCAAATGCTCATCTGTAAAAACCATTCTTAGCTCATGGGCCATATAAAACCAAATGACAGTCTGGATTTGGTCATTGGGTCATACTCTGACAACCCAGTTTAAGAATCAGAAGGACACAGGGTGACTCTGGGCTGCTACTGTAAGTACAATAGCACTACAAAAGCATTAGATATGCTTTTGTTCACTGCTTTGGGAGACTAATTCATGAGATGAAACAAAATCAAAGATGACTTTCATAGGGAAATAAAATGGGAGTTTCAAACAAATTACCTTTAGATTATGTAAGGCAAGAACTTATAAGGTTACAGGTTCTTCAATATAAATATTTCCCTGGAGGTAATTAAAGAATTATTTGTAAATTGTAGACAATTTTTTAAGTTATATCCAGTATTAACAATTGTAAAAAGTAACATGATAGAACAGAAAAAATAGAGCTTGTATCTGCCTAAACTTTCTTTCCAAAAGATCTAAGGAGCTAAAAAGCAATTTTTATGTGAAAGGAAGTGAAGATCACTACACTACTTCCTTTGTTCTAAACTTTCCCACACAAGGGAAAGGTATATAACTTCAAAAATAAACAGCAATAACCTTTAATTACTAAGTAAAGGAGAAAGTACTTCCCATCTAGATCAGGCGTGGGCAAACTACATTTCATCTCTCATTTCTATATAGCCTGAAAGTTCAGGATAGTTTTATATTTTTAAATAGTTGGGGAAAATACTTTCAAAAATTTTAATCTGTTTATTGATTTAAGAGAGCGAGTAAGGGGGACAGAGAAACATCAATGTGAGAAACATCGACTGGTTGTCTCTCATACGCACCCCAACTGGGGATCAAACTGGCAACCTAGGGTATGTGCCCTGACCAGGATCTGAACCCCCAACCTCCAGCCAACTGAGGCACACCAGCCAAGGCAGAATAAAAAAACTTTTAAAATAACCTTTTGTGAAACATAATTCAAATTTCAGTATCCATAAATAAAGCATTACTGGAACACAGCCATGCTCATTTGTTTCCAAATTGTTTATGGCTACTTTTAGCCCTGCAATGGCAGAGTTGACTAGTAATGACATCCAGTCCTTTACAGAAAAAATATTGCCAACCCATGTCCTAGATTGTCAACACTTTCATAGTAAGAGAGGTTAGGACTGCCAAACTGAAAACTATCCCCAAAACAACACTGTGAGTGTTTAAACACTAAATGAACTATGTATAGCCTGCAAGTCTATTCTGACTTAAAGTTATTATCATTGTCATCAATGGTGAAAGTATAGCTATTTGCATAGGAATATACATTATATTCTTGAAAATAACTACTGATTTAAATGAATCAGCAAACAGATAAGTTTAGACACTTGTAAAACATATAGGGCTTTGGAATGGAATCCATTTACAAAACAAACGTTTAAAAAATACTTAATGCTTTTAGCATTGTTTTCTCTAATTTCAGTTTAACATTTGGATCAATATACTTCTTCAATCCATTCACAAATTCTCCTGTATGAAATTTCAATTATTAGCAATTTCAGTTTTTCCCAGGTAAAATAAAAAGTTCATCTCATGTACTCACTGTAAATTTTGTTTTCACATTGTGCCCAAGGCCAGTAACTACAAACCTAGCCCACAACTCATCTGCATTGTTTCTGTTTCTCATAAAGTTCCCATTAGCTCCCACACATTATTTGTTTCTGTGTAGCAAATGTTCCCGAAAAGAAATTTAGGGTCTGAAGTTATTTTTGTTGTTCTTGTTGTTATATTTTATTATATTTTAGATGGGACATTATCTGTAACACCTGACAACTTGGAAATTCAGGAAGTTCCAGATTAATCCTTTGTGAATATCAGAAAGCTATGGCAACTGCATTTTGTTATGATTATACATGTCTAGAGGGCATATAAGATTTCTAACATGACCAAGGCACAACATAAGTATTGGCAATAGCCTAAACCGATAAATTGTTACAACTATTTCAGATAATGACTTGGACTCCTTTAAAGTTTCACTCATCATTAATCTTGCTGTTCCCATTCTGTTACTTTTATCTGTTATCCAAACAATTCTAGAATTTTTTTCCCCCTGTACTTCCTGTGTTGCTACAAAAATAAAAAGGCGTTTAAGGTTGGATTTAACTTGAAATGAGAGAATGCATGAGAGAAGCAAATGAAACTAAGACAATGCCCCAGGGCAGGGCGTAAATGATCAATGCGGACACCCCAACCAGGAAACTAATTTGGCACCCATGCAGAAGGTACTCTTCAAATATTTGTTCAACATTTATTTAGAGGTGAAGCCAACTGCTTTATGGGGGAAGGGTGAAGAAAGAACTGGGTGTCACCCAGACTCTTCTAGTTACTGCTCTACCATCAAGAAATTCAGCTCCGGTCCTAACTTCCCCTACTCGGGAAAACAAAGGGCTGCGGAGTTCAGGAGACTCACCTTCAGGAAATGACAATTAGTCATCAAATAGTGTTACTCCAATTTGCCATTCCTGCAGAGAGTGGGGGGTGGATCTCACCTTCCACCCAAATATCAGTGTTCCTTCTAACCACAGAAAACATTGTCCTTGGGAGGAACTCTGTAAAGGCCGTTTTCCGCATCCCATTACGGTTTCACAGCCGCTGCTTAGGCTCTGCATCAGAAGCACGCCTGCAAGCCTCCGAGCATCATAGGGGCCCAAGGGGGCATCTGACACCGCAGGCGCGAGGACCCGGACAGAGGTGGCGAGCGATCCTGCCTCCCGCTGGGTGATGCGGGTCCAACCAGAACCTGTGCCCCGACCCCTCTCCAGGTCCGCCGCAGCCCGGGCCTGTCTGAATCTGATTCCCACCCACGGCCAGCTCCTTGAGGCCGACGTGGTCTGGAGCCGCGGAACTGTCCCGCGCACAGTCCGCAGCCGCGAAATGCCGCGGTGGAAGGCTGGCCGCCAAGCGCTGCCCTGACAAGCTGCAAAGCGGACTCAGTCGGGAGCGCTTCAATACAAACTCCTGGTGCCCGGTACCTCAGACTAGCCCCAGAGCCCCACGGACGCCCAGAGTGCTGGGCCGCCGACAGGTGCCAAGGATTGCCGACTCTCTTCTGCCACCGCCCCCCAACCCCACGGGCTTCCCAGCGAGAAAGGCCTCCCCCTTCCCGTCCCCTCAGTCTCCTCCCCACCTCCGCCGCCTCACCTCGTACGGCTGCCATGTTTCCCTGACAGTCCCTCGCGGAACTGACTCTCACCCCCTCGGCGTCCGCTGTTTAGAACACCCGGGACCGCCTCTTATGTCATAGAGACGAAAATCGCTAGGCCTAGAGCGCCCTGTCCGCCGACTGTCCTCCGGCTTCCGGGCCAGCCAGGCACAAAGATTGGGCTGAAAAATACGAACTACTCCCAAAACTGAGACAACATGGATGGAGAGGAGGACTTTAGGGCCGAGGCCTTGCTGACAAGTGTGTAAAACTCGGCTCTAGGGCGTCGTTCTGTAAACTACAAATCCCGGCCGGCTAACCAAGCGGGGTTAAGAGAACAGAGCGTTGCCTTCTGGGAATTGTAGTCATGCCCAAGGTGATTTGACAGCAAATAAGGATTTGGAGTTAGACTCTGTGATTCATGCCTGTCAAAGCTATTGCAGAAACTTCCACGACTCATAAAATAACAGAAACTACTTTCGGCAACGTTCTAACTTCCAGCTCACTTATTTCCTTCCATTGTTACCTCTTTTTTAAACCTAACATAACTTATATCACATATGGTTCAGAAGTATCATGCCTTTGGCCTTATCATCAGCATTATCATCGATTATATTTACCTACTCGAATATTCTAACTACATGATGGCCACACAAAAAAAAGGGCTTCAAAAACGTTAGACGTGTCAACAGGCACTTACTTCAACTTCTATAAGCTCTACTTTCAACAGGGGATACTAATGCACATTAGCAATTTTAGAAATTTATTGGCAAAATGAATGGCTTTCAACATATGTGAACTGGTTAAAAATACTATATAGGTACCTCATCCATCAAAGAAACAGGGGTACAAGATTCTGAGATGCCCAGCAGGCTACAACATCTGTAGAATGATGTTTCCCAAAAATGACTTTAAGAGGTTTGAGTGGTTAATGTTATGTATGTTATATACTATTGTCTTATCATTAGATATACATACAGATATATGAAGTCTGTCTGGAAAATTGTTAATATAAGGAGAATGATTTGCATGACATGGATATAACCCGGCTGTCAAGGAGAATGGACTGCAACGCTCATGTGTAAACAATGGCCACTTCACTGTACAAGTCAGAGGGGGTGGTAGACACCATTGAGTGAGCATGTGTACTGTGTGGCCATCGCATTTAAAATGACTGAAGGAGTAGAGCAACGAATCTGCATTCGTTAAGCTTGAACATTCCTCCAGGAAAACTATTCGGACGATTCAGAAGGCCACAGCTATGGGCAACTAATGATTGGCAGCTTCATCAGGACAATGCATCCACTCATGCATCATGCCTGGTGCAGAGTTTCTTGGTGAAATCACCCAGGTGAGTCAGTCCCCATAAACCCAGAGTTTGTGCCCTGCAACTTCTGGCTTTTCTCAAAACTAAAATCACTTTTGAAAGGGAAGATATTTCAGACTGTCAATGAGATCCAGGAAAATATGACAGGGCAGCTGATGGCGATTGGGAGAACTGTGTGAGGTCCTAAGGTACCTACTTTGAAGGAGACTGAGGAAGCATTGTCCTATGTATAATTTTTCTTGTATCTTTTTCAATAAATGCCTCTAATTTTCATATTATGTGGCTGGATACCTTCTGGACATACCTCGTATGTAGTCTCTTAACATTATTGGAAAATTTTGCATGACATATTATCATCACATAAATACTAGGAGAGGCTCATAAGAGACCACAGTTGACTTTGTAGAGTCAGATATTTGATTAATCTCATTTTGGAACAGTATTGGAACCTCCCTCTACCTGTTTATATGTGTGCTCACTAGATTCATCACCTCTTCCTGTAATTGATACAGTTTGCACTTGTGAAATTATTCAATTCCATGCTGTGTATGTTCTTATACATACACTTAGACAAAAAACACATATGTGTACTTGAAATTAATTTTAAAAATTAAAATATTCCATCATAAGTTCATTCTTTTACAACTAATGCTGTTTACAGTTTATCTATTTCTGTTTTAGAGTCATTATAGTCTCAATTTAGTTTAATTAACTATAATTATTCTCCTTTTGCTGCTCCAAGGACATCTACATGGCCCTTGTAAGCCTGCTACTTTCTTTAAACCTGCACAAGATTTTTGAAACTTTTTTAAAAATTATTTCTAGCAACAAATGGTTCCAGGGCCAATCTTGATTTTTCTGTGTCCTATGTCCTAGAATCCCCTATGCTTCAAGAAATTATAAGTTCCTTCTGGTGGAGTGATGGAGAACAGACACACACACACACACACACACACACACCCCCATAAAGTGCTGGGTAAAATGTTGCCAGGCCATTTTTGTGGCATTTCTAATTCAATTAACATATTTTGCTACTGAATCCTACTTTTCTTATAAATTTTCACTACCCACAAAGACTTCCTACAACACTGACATGAACCCTGACAGATTTTGATGCCTCTCGTCCTAATCTGATCAGCTCAAGGTCACCAGGGACAAAACCTAAACTCAAAGTGAGGATTTTCTACCCATTTCAGTGAAGGAAACTGCACACCAGAGGAACTGCATGGGGTGTTTCAAGAAACAAAGGAATAGAGTTACAGAATTTGGAGGAAGAATAGAGTTAAATAAAATTTAAAGGAAATTATGTTTTGATAGGTTTAAAACAGGCCGGTGTTTGATGAGATCAACATCATATCTGCATTGCAGAATGATCTTGGGATGCTGTTTCTTGGAAACTATAGTTATTGTAGATGTGGACTGTCATATTCAGGAGCCCCTTTAATGAAGTCTTTTCACGTAGGTTGGAAATTGAGGCTGCTGCTTTGTGTCAGAGTGATTTAATCCTCTAAGCGAAAATAGGATGTTTCATTCTTAATGATATAATTTCAATACTACGTTTCCTAATAATGTATGATTGTAAAAAGCCAAAAGTGGGATTGCTAGTAATACTTTACAGCATGTCCTTGGGAGAAATATTATTTCCTGTTAACTTTACATCTGGCTTTTCTGTTTGTTATCCTGGACCAATGGATAGCCAAGCAGATATTTACATTCTCAGTTTGAACTAATTTTTCCTTTCCCATTCTGAATTATCCTAAGTCTTGGAAAGAAAATATTGGCTTAATGGGTTTTTTAAATATATGCCTAGCTTTCTATACAACACTGGTTATTGCAAGAAGCATCAATCTTAAACATGCGATCCACAAGGTAATTGGTACAATAATAAGCTATGCAGCTATTTTTATTGTCATTTGAGAGCCTAATGATAATCCTTTTAAAAATTACATTCTATCGATTATACTATTACAGTTGTCCCAATTTTTCCCCCTTTGCCCTCCACCACGCATCCACCCTTACCATACCCTCAGACAATCCCACCTCATTGTCCATATCCATAGGTCATGCATATATGTTCTTTGGCTACTCTATTCACTATGCTGTACTTTACATCCCTATGACTTTTCTGTAACTACCAATTTGTACCTCTTAATCTCTTCACCTTTTTTGCCCAACCCCACCACCCTCTAGCATCTGAAAACCATGAAAATGTTCTCTGTAACTATGATTCTGTTTCTGTTTTGCTTGTTCGATTATTTTGTTTTTTAGATTCAATTGTTAATAGGTACATATCTGTTGCCATTTTCTTGTTCATATTTTTGACCTTCTTCTTCTTAAAGAAGACCCTTTAAGATTTCATATAATACTGATTTGGTGTGATGAACCCCTTTAGTTTTTTATTGTCTGGTAAGCTCTTTGTCTGTCCTGTAACTCTAAATGATAGTTTTGTTGGGTAGAGTAATCTTGATTTTAGGTCCTTGCTTATCATCACTTTGAATATTTCTTGCCAGTTCCTTCTTGCCTGCAAAGTTTCTTTTGAGAAATTAGCTAACAGTCTTATGGGGGCTCCCTTATAAGTAACTAACTACTTTTCTTCTGCTACTTTTGAGATTCTCTCTTTATCTTTCACTTTTGGCATTTTAATTATGATGTTTCTTGGAGTGGGCTTCTTTGAGTTCATCTTTTTTGGGACTCTTTGCCTCCTGGACTTGCATGTCTGTTTCCTTCACCATAGAGAAGTTTTCTCTCATAATTTTTTCAAAGAGATTTCCAATTTCTAGCTTCTCTTCTCCTTCCAGTACCCCCATGACGCAATTGTTGGTACACTTGAAATTGTCCCAGAGGCACCTTACACTATCCTCATTTTTTGGGGGGACTCTTTTTTCTTCTTGCTCTTCTGACTGGTTGTTTTTTGCTTCTTTATATTCCAAATTGCTGACTTGATTCTCAGCTCCATCCACTCTACTGTGGATTCCCTGTAAATTGTTCATTTCAGTTAGTGTATCCTTCATTTCTAACTGGTTCTTTTTTATGTTTCCATGTCCCTTTTTTATCATATTGAAGTTCTCTCTGAGTTATTCTGCTCTTCCCCTAAGTTCATTGAGCATCCTCATAACCAGGATTTGAACTCTGCATCTAGTAGATTCCTTGTCTCCATTTTGTTTAGTTCTCTACTGGAGTTTTGTTGTGTTCTTTCATTTGGGCCATATTTCTTTGTCTCCTCATTTTGGCAGCCTCCCTGTTTATTTATATGTATTAAGCGGAGCTGCTATGTCTCCCAAGCTTGGTAGAGTGGCCTAATATAGCAGGTGTCCTGTAGGGCTCAGTGGCACAGCCTATTACCCAAGTTGGGCACTTGAGCTGTACCCACTGTGTGGGCTGTCTACACTCTCCTATTGTAGTTGAGCCCTGATTGCTCTTTGCACGTTCAAGGTTAGCCACCACCTGTGTTCTGTCTGGGCTCACACAGCATAAGCTACAAAGTGATCTGCAGATGGTTGCTTCCTGTGCTGGGCTTGTAGGTTCCCAGATGAAGCCAAACTGTGAACCTACACTGGCTGCTGCTTGTGCTAGGCCTGGGGCCACTTAGCAAGAGGTATGGGGTTTGGGGGCTTGCTGAGGCCAGCTGTTGCTTGTTTGAGAGAATTTAGGAAGATGTGAAGCATGAGCCAAGACCAGCCATTCATATGGAAAAACCACTGGAAACAGCTTTAATTGGCCCACAAATTGGGAGGGGAAGAGCCTCAGGGA